CGCCGCTGCCTAAGGTAAAGGGCTTGACTGGAGTTACTAGAGTGCAAACCAAATAAAGCACAAGACAGAGCTACTAATATTGCTGTAAACTTGGAGCAGCTTTTTGGCTCTCACACAGGGGATATTTCTGAATTATGACTTTTCTAACATAATGTGACCCCACAAGTTAATGCCGTTTAATAATGATATTGAATTTTCTTGCTAACAAATGTAATAATGTTACACTTGAGCAGATAAACACAATTAAACCCATTCCTTGCAAATTTGCCTATGTTTTTCATTTTGGAAATGTTAAAAAAATCACACCAAATGCCTGATATCTTGTGACTTTTTCTGAACTAATGAAATTGTTTGTAATAATTTTTTATGATTTGATCTAATTTTTCTTTTCTACACTCTAGATTTAATGCATTTTTCATATTTTGCTTTAAAGCACATTGTAACTGTTTTTGAGAGTACATGATTGAAGATCTATAGTTTTGTATAATGTGTTTAAATTATTTTTCTGATTGCAGCTCATACAACTTATATTGCCATATTTTCCAGCTGTAGTTCTAAGACTGACTACAATTCTAGTAGATATGAAAACATAAGGTGGTACGGCAAACAAATGCCAACAAATGCCACAACCGCTTCTGGGAAAATTTCAGTTGATTTCTGTACTTAGACAATATGCAGAAAGATGTGTGGGGAAATTCCAAAACCTGTCATTTCCCAGCAGTGAGCATACATGAGTTGTTGCAACAGTGTGTTATTTTCAGGACAGCTGTCTCTTCCCTCACATACTCCACCTTTATTATGAAACTTTACTGACCTTATACTTGTTCCCCTAAACAAAGCAATGCATGTGGCTGAAATGCAAAAGACTGCCTCTGTGGTGTGTTCCAGTCGTCAGTTTTTCACCGACAACATCTATTTTTAGACAGGCTTGATAGCGAATGCACACAGCTCACTGAAGAGCTCATCTTTTTTTTTTCATCATTCAACTTCCTGTCCTGACGTGCTTCAGCGTGCAGCAGCAATTGGATGCTGGTTTTCACTTCCTCAAAAACAGCAATCAGCTGAGTCGCTGCGGTAGTACAAAGTGCAGTTTTTAAAGTAGTAAATTTCCGTTTTGACACGTTCATTTTTTTCTAAATATTTGTATAACCGCAGCAGGAGAAAACGGAGGAATGTGAACAGGAAGTGGGGGAAACATCTGGTGTCTGGAAGTACTCTCTCGGGCACAGAAAAGAGTGAAACATGGGCAGTGAGTACCAACCACTGTCTTCACCAGAGGCGTGCAGATGTTTATTCACTGGTATGTACTATATATCCTAAGATGTTTCTTGACATTTAATGAAGATTATGAGGTACATACATTATGATAGACTTAGTTAAATGGCTTTGTTCCTACCTAAAGTGCCAACATTCACTGTTGTTTTAAAATCTGGAAACTCCTCTTTTTTTGTCCCCCAGATGCAACCCATACTGAAACCAATGCCTGTATTAGTAACTCAGAATTTCTCATACTGAACATTATGGGATTAAAACACTTTATGACAACTCCAGTGACATCTAGAAGATAACACCACTTTAAGTGCTTAATCAAATATTAATTTATGTAGGCTATATAAGAATATAGTGCTAAATTGGCTTGGTTTAGCTTTATTTCATAAAACAACATAAAGATAACACATGCCAAAATAAGAGAAATAGAAAAGAACAAAGAAAGAAGCAAATATAATCCAACACAGGATACAAACTAAACAAATGGTAAACAGCATATACAGTAACACAAGCAAGGTACTGAGCTTAAAACTACAGCATGTCAGGATAAAAAAAACTATGTAACTTATATTTTCATAGTTGTTTCATACTTATTTTCATAAAGTTCCTGCCCTCCTCCCAGTGATGATGATAACAGACTGCTGTGGCCCTGCTACATTTCTATACATGAAAGATTATATAAGTTGTACATTTTACACATAACCTGCTGCTGCATAGTGACACATATTAGATGCACATTTAATCATTTAATAAATGAATAACTCTTAAATCTCATAAAGATATTTAACAATATGTTATTTGCATAGTAACAATGCTGGTAAACACATTACAGCACATACAGTTAAAAATGTTAGGTCACTAGACTCAGCCCTTACATTGTTTTATAATACCTACTGTATAATACTGCAGTATGCGTATAATATGCAGTATTGCATGCACAGCAGTGATGCTGCAAGCACTCTGTGGGCTGTGAAGAGGCTTCTCCTCCACTGACCAATCCTCCTCTCAGTAACACTTCTTGTTAAAGGGGCACTTCACTGATTCTGCACATCATGTTCAGTTTAGTCATCATACAGAGCCCTCCATAGCTCAGGAAAACAGTTTACAATATCTTCATGGTTCTGGAGGGACCTTTTCCAATGTCATCAGTCATAAAATATGAAAATATTTCTCACATCTTATATCCCTATAATCAGTTATTTTAAATAAACCGTCAAAACGTGAATGCAGCCTGTGGAAATGAATCAGTCTGCACATTATCATCATTGTTTTGTTTTGCATAAAGAGTATATTTTAGTAAATTCATAATAGAATGAAATTTTTTGGGCTGCTGCAAATGATTTTTTAATTGATAAATACAAGCCCAGATGTGGTGAATCTAGTTTAAGCCAACGCCCCTCATTTGTTTTTTCCCCATTCCCTTAATATCACTTTAAAGATCATTAGAGATGCCATAAATAAACAGAAACTGATAAGTTGGACATGTATTTTTATGCTTTCAGTGAATTGTGGGTCATGGATAAGGTGCACCTCAGTGCCAGGCAGATGTTTCATGTATTCAGTATCTGTTGTTAGTATTGCTGTAATGTCACTTTGTGATTCGCATAGTAATTATAAACAGAAAAATAAAAGTTGCCTTCACATTAGTCTGTGAAACACTAATCCCTGCTTCCTTCTAGAGGTGCTCTAGGCCTGTGCTTTGTGACAGCCGTGGTGTTAGCTTACCAGTCCCCCAACCCCCACCCAAACCCCCCCCCCACTGTAGCCAGATGGCTGTCACACAGGCAGTTCCTCGCCCAGACCATGCTGATTTCCCATCATTCTTTTGTTAATGAGGTCGTTAGCAATGCAATGGACAATTAAATTATCCCAATCTGGCATTTTCCTCGTTGGTATACTGTATAGTGTGCTGTACAGTGTTTCAAATCATCAAGCAGCATTGCTCAGTTTGACTGCTTCTGTTCAGATCATGGCAGCTATATCTTTACTATATTTTTTCCTTATTATTTGTGTCAGTGGTACTGTGTCGCAGTGAAATACAGCATCGCAAAGCCATCGACTAGGATGAACAGAGCTCTTGACAGAGGTGGTACTAGCACTTCTTCTCTGTGATAGTTGGAGACTGACAAAATTTGTTTTAGTACATCATCATCCTGTATGGAAACAACATAGCCTGGAGCTGCTGCTGCTGCTGCTGCACAGAGGAAGTTTTGTTAGCCAGTTAGTCGAGAGCTCACCTTCATGTGAAACTCTGCAGAACACTGGCACTGCTGACAGTTAATTATGGGAGTCACAGATCACACAGACGTGTCAGCTCGGCTACGATTGACATGCCGCATGTTTACATCTCTGTTGTAATGTTGTTTTCGAGTCATTTTCTCAGCAGAAGTGCATCTGTTATGTAGCTCCAGAAAGTGCCTCGGGGTTTGCCATAATGATTGTAAAAGCAGTACGGATTCGGGGGAATGAAATGTTAAAAAGAACTTGTGGGTATAATTGGTGAACCTGCCATCACAGTAACTATATTTTTGGTCAGGCTGTGAGGCACACAGACTGCCTGTTAGCTAGACTGTCATACTCTATAGGTATAATCCCTGCATGGTTCCATTATTTCTTTGCTAAATACACTTACAAAATCATTTTGACAATGAGTGAAAACCAACTAAACGTGATATATTGTTAGACAAGTAGACAAAAAGGAAGCAGACATATGAATTTTGACAGTTGCATTTTGGAGCACAACACTGCATTGCATCACTGGAATAATTTCCATTAGCAGGCCAGGTGGCTGGCGGCAGCAAACAGGGTGGTACAGTAAGAGGCAGCCAGACCTGTCTAAAAACACAAGAATTCTGGCTTAACCAAAATGAGTGCTGAGGGAGAAAAAGTTTATCAGGTTTCTCTGTTTTAGAGTCTCTGAGATATTAATGCAGGTAGTGATACAGTATATGCCTGGTCAGTAATAAAACCTGCTTACACAGATTCTGATGGGTTACATTAAAATCCCACCCTTTGATTAAAAGGTTTTTCATCTGAAGATAGATTTTCACCTGAAGCAGCCCAGTTCAATGAAAGCCCCAGAGGAGACAGGAGTGTCTGAGGCAGCAGTTTATCCCCCATTCAGGCGGGTGCACACACCACCGCTAGCCCTCACTGCTGCCTTCCAGTGTTTTCATAGTATGAAACCAGCAAATCTGGCTCCCAGCTACTGTCTAATACGCAGCTTCAAAGCTGCTCATTGGGGATCATCACTAACAAAGTTGTTGGTGAAGTTTGCTGCTAAATGAGAGATGAATGATTTGAGGACCTTTTTGTATAAGGTTGAAGAGTGAACCTGGTTAACATACACAGTATAAAGTCAAACTTACAGTGCAGTGTTGTGTTACTGACAACATTTCCACTTGTCAGAGATGTCAACCAGCAGCAATTACTTTTAAAGCCAAGATTCCCTTTGCCACGCTCTCAGTGGGAACAAAAAATGATCTAATGCTTAGGTCACATTACAGTGTGTGGTGAATGCTGTAACAGGAAAGAAGTTGTAGTATCCATGGGAGAATATTTGCAAAATTTGTCTTTTAGTGAGCGTACTATGATTTACACCTGACAAATTGTAAGTCAACTAACGATTTCTTGATCAGCAATGAATCTTAATGTGAATCAGGGCTTAGCCTTGATGCAATGTTAAATCAGTCTTAAACCATCTATAACCCCTATCGTCTCCTCTTTTACAGAGACACCAGAGTGCTTTATATGCAGGGATGCCGATCATCAAATCGATGACCCACTGAGGAATTTCTGTGATTGCAAGAATTTACTTGCCCATCACATGTGTCTAGCCACATGGCTCCAGAGGGTAAGAAAGACGTCCCATGGAGGGAACCTTGTCATTCTGAATTTCAACCTTGTTGTTTTTCTTCATCACGCACTTGTCAAAGATATATAAGGGGGAAAAAGTCAGTGATGGAATTTTAACAGTGAATAAATGTGCTTACCATCTTAGCATTCCTTATTGAGACAAAACTTTGCTGTTCACCTCAGGGTAATGAGCTACCTTTCAAATAGCAATACCAGTTAGTTTTAATGAGGGTTGCTGACAATGATAACACGTCATCGTTATACAATTGAAACACGGAGGCTGAAACTGTGAGTACCTCATAATGGACTGGCAGAAATCCAGGAAGCTATCATGCACCAGACACCTGTCACCTATTGCAAAATGGCTCATTAACATCTGTAGTACTCCTTGAACCAGCAGTTGTACTGATGCAGTACTTACTGCTGTGGTGTTTTTGCATTGCACCTCCCAAAAGACCACTTTAGGCCCCTTGGTTGTTGAAATGTACATTTCTGTAGGTGGCATACATTTCTCTGCCTGTTCACTCATGGTACTTATTGCTGCTCATGCTAATTACTCCTCTGCCATTAATTCCCGGCAAACTGCCACTGCTGCTGCCACCAGAATAGTAAAAAATATATAATTACCTCTGTGTATCCAAATTTTTCTTCCTAAAAACAAAAGGTAAAAAGTAAGTGAAAGTAAGTAAAGTGAAAATGGAAATTTAAACTGAAGTTTAACTTTTAACACTTCAGCTGCAGTTTTTCACATAAGTATTAAATCCTTTTGTATACAAATGTGTTTTTATGTCATGTGACATGAAAATGCACCTCAAGAAACCTTAGTTTGCATGGACAGGTGATATACTGTTACAGTGTTCCTTCTTTCATTACTGTATGCATTTACTGTTTGAATACCATAATGGAATTGTAACAGTCACATTATGATTGCACTGTACAAGCACTGGTTGTTGGCACTGAACATTTTAGCATATGATATGCTGTAAAGTAAAAAACAAAAAAAGTCATTTTTTTATATGAACAATGAATCAAATGACTGTGTGTAATGTGAAAATGGTTGCTTGTTCTAATGAACCCACACACAAAATTAGCTCTTAACTATGAAGTTTCTTTTAGCTCTACAGTTTTCAATGTCTATCTACTTGTTGTTTTGGTTGTAGGCTCGCAACTTTACTTTTTTGGTTCACTGTTCTTATCAGCATTAGCGAGCAGCTTTTATCAGCAACAAAGCTCTGATAAACCCTGTTTTTTCTGGCAAAATGCAGACTGGCAAATTTCAAGCAGGCACTTTACTTCTTCATTACTCCAGAGAGATCCTTTCACAGCCATGTTTGTTACTGTTCAAACCGACAGAGTTGAACAGTTATGATGTCATATAGTAGCCCACTTCCTTGTTTGACAACAGTCACGTTCACGTCTCCCACAGCCTGTACTCCAGTACACATGAATCGTGTGCAACACAACCTCTTCAAGCAGACTCGGGCATGCTGTCCAAGTCTGGTACACTTGTGTTCACGCTGATCAAAATGAACCGGACTTTGGGGTGTAGCTGGTTGTCACAGCGACACTGAAATTGCCATGAAGTCACTGGCAGGGTAGGCTCAAAGCTGTTGTAGTCTATCAGAATCAGAATCTGCTTTATTGGCCAGGTGTGTCGGACACACGAGGAATTTGACTCTGGCTCTCAATGTGCATGTACATATCACCGCAAGGGGCAAGTAAACAGCAAAGCAGCATAAGGCTGTGTAAAATAACAAAATAAGCAGTATTAACAAACAGTGCAAACAATGCAAAATAAGCAGTATAAACAGGCAGTAAACAATGCAGACTGACAAAGGAATGCTCACTGAGAGATAAATAGGAATTAAGATAGAGTACTTAAACCTAGAGACCTGTATGGATCCATATAATCTGTACATGTATATTTACAGGTGTTACACTGAGGGTTATTGTCCAGTCATACTATCATGGGTCAAGTGTTCATCAGAGTGATGGCCTGGGGGAAGAAACTATCCCTGTGCCTGGTTGTCTTAGTGCACAGTGACCTGTAATGCCGTCCAGAGGGGAGGTGTTCGAACAGATTATGTCCCCGGTGTGAGGGGTCTGCAGTGATCCTCTCCGCCCTCCTTTTGACCCGTGCGATATACAGGTCCTCCGTGGAGGACAGGCTTGCACCAGGCTTGCGTCTGTTGCTCTTACTTTGGTCAATGTTTGTTTTAATTTTAATTGTTGGAACTCTACGGGCTCAGTCTCTGCTGGTGTATGATCGCCGATTCCTTTTGGATCTTCAATTTAAAGTTGGTAACTTATGTGTACTTGATCGGGATGGGCATAAGACTGTTCCCCCGGTTTTGTCTGGGATTCCAGCCCATCTCCTTCGGGCTTCGGCTCTGCTCCCCTGGCGGAAACGTCCCCATCATTGGGGTAGGCGTAGTGGAAGGTTAGTGAAGCTGAAGACCCACCTGATGTGCTCCCCTTCTTTCCTTCAGACAGATTGGAAACTGTGTTCTTTCTTCGTGCTGTCTCGACGTTTCCTGGATCCTACCGATGCCTGTTTGGTGCCTGTTGTGGGTGGCGATGAAGGTCCCCGGACTTTTAGGCCCTGTTTTTCTTGGCTCCGACGGCGTGGGGTGGATCGTCATGCTTTGAAGACGCTTCGACCAGTTCCCCGGCCGGCGGTGTCACAGGCCCAGGACCTGGGAAGGATTGGCCTGGTGAATGCTCGGTCGCTCCCGGGACTTGGATTTTCTCTTTTTGACAGAGACATGGGTTGATGCTGGTGAGTTTAGTACTTTTAATGAACTTTTGCCGACTGGATGTTCTTATTTTAGCTCACCGCGGGTGTCTGGCCATGGATGTGGGACAGCATCTGTTTTTAAGAACAATTTTACCTGTAAGCAGTGCACACTATCATTACCCTCATTTTCTAGTTTTGAACTGACTGTATTTGAGGTGGGTCGGTCTGATCCAGTACTGTGTGCTGTTATTTATAGGCCACCCAAATATAATAAGAAGTTTGTGGATGACTTCTCGGATTTTTTGACTGGTATTATGCCCTTCTATGATCATATTCTTTTATTGGGTGATTTTAATATGCATGTGTGCTGCCCAGATAAACCACTGGTGAAAGAATTTTTAGCTGTTCTTGATGCTTTTGATTTGGTGCAATATGTGACTGGTCCTATACATGAGCAGGGACATACGCTGGATCTTATTGTTTCTTATGGTGTCCCTGTATCAAACCTGGATATATGTATAAATGCTTTTTCTGATCATATGCCTATTATATTCTAGGCAGGTTTTTTCCTTTGCAGTGGGTGCAGTACATGTGCCTACCCGGAGCCGCCGGGTAATTACCTCTTCTACTGCTGGACTATTTGTGGCTGCGTTTGACCAAGCTGTTGCTCAATTGGATCTGGCCGCTGGCAATGCAGAGGGGACTCAGTCCCTGGTTCGACCTTCCCTGTCACTCCATAATGGAATTGGTGGCCCCGCCGAAAACTCTGCAACCAAGGGCGAGGCTGGAACCCTGGTTTGGCACTAAAACTCAAGCAGCCAGACAATCCTGCCGTAAGGCGGAGCGTCGGTGGAAGAAGGATGGACTACAGGTGTCGTTCCAAATCCTAAAGGACTGTTGGCGTAACTATCAGAAGACTGTTGAAGAAGTTAAACAAGAATATTTGTCAAAAATTATTGTATCTAACACTCATAATCCGCGTGTTCTGTTTAAAACAATTGGGTCTGTGTTGGACCCT